TTGTTGCTGTGTCAAGAGTAGGAGGTGATCTGTTTGTCTATCGCTGCTGGTGCCGCATATCAGTTGGAAGCCTTCCTAAATCAATGTGAAAGGAGTAAAATGAAAAGGCTGCTTTCATGCTGTTTTACAAGTGCTGTATTACAAGTCATTAAGGTCTGGGTGGTCTCAGTCAACAGAGAACCTCTCAGATTGTATGTCACACTTCCCTTCAAATTCAGAGTCAATAGATGATTACATTCTGCCTAAAAAAAAGGTGAGACAGAGGCAAATGAATTAAGAAATTATTTGCAGGTACGCACACCTAAACTGGGAAGGAGAACCCATGTAGAATGTCTCTCAACCGTGGTTATTTAAGAATAAACACTCAATCTTCTGAATGCACTGGGGACACAGTAGTCAGAATTCTAATATCAGACCAAATTATCTAATAAAGTATTATTGGGCTACTAAAACTAATCCTGTTAAGTTGGAAACCACCACTTAAAAAAGATCCACGCAACGGTAGGGAGAGCATCACTTACATAACAGAATTTATACAGATTTACTGAATGCTGTAGTTTAGTCTGTCTGTCTTTCTTTCGTCCCAGGAGCCAATCAACCTTTAGAACATGTTGCTATCCTCTATATTTGAAATTTGTGGTTAACTCTTCCATTCAGTCACATTTTGTGATACAAAGGATTCACATATGATGCGTAAGAGGGTGTTAACTACTTTAAGGCTCAGACTTCCTCACACCCGCTGATAGCCACTTACAATGTGTAGTCTTCGCAGGATTCGATATAAACCGACAGAAGTCAGTAAATGTCGTTTCACCTAATACTGAAATCCAATATCCTAATCCTTCGCCCCTTCCCTCTCTCCCCCCCCCCATCCTGCAGGGATCAGGTGTCACCAGCCTGAGGCTGTGCAGGGAGTCCTCTGCAGCCCTGCTGTCATGGGAGTGAGGGAACAGGACCCTGACAGCTGGGTTGCAGAGGACTCCCTGTGCTGCTGCAGGGCTGGTGAGACACCCTTCCTGAAGAAGCAAGGTACAGGGAAGGCTGCAGTCTTCGCAGGGAAGAGTAGAGGCCCCCAGCGCTCCCAGCTGGTAAAAGAGCGGGACTGTAGAGGGCTTCCTGCACTGCCACAGGGCCAGTTGATACCCAATCTCTGCAGGTATAAGGTGCAACGAAGGCTGTGGTCTTGGTGAGCAGAGCACAAATCCCCAATCAGGGCTGCAAGAAGGATGAGGATGAGCCCTGGCCTTGGGATAGGCCACCCTGAGGCTGAATGGCTCTCTCCCCGGGCAGGAGTGAGCTCCCTCCTTCCCATAATAGTGAGGCTGCAGAGGGCTCCCTGCATGGCCGCTGAGCAGGTGACACAGGTGGGAAAGGCTGTGGCCATTGCAGGCAGAGCAGGTCATGGCCTCAAGAAGTCCCTTGCCATGGGGGAGGTTACTCCACTGCTGAATGGTTATTAATAGGCAGAAGGTTTAAAACAAACAGGAAGTACTTCTTCACACAATGCACAGTTAACCTGTGGAACTCATTGCCAGAAGATATTTTGAAGGCCAAAACTGTAATTGGATTCAATAAATAATTAGATAAGATCATGGAGGAGAGGTCCTTCAATGGCTACTAGCCAAGATAGTCAGGGATGCAAGCCTGTGCTCTGGATATCTGTCCGCTTCTGACTGCCAGATGCTGGGACTGGACGACAGGGGATGGATCGCTTGCTAATTGCCTGGTTCTGTTCATTCTCTGTGAAGCATCTGGCATTGGCCACTGTCAGAAGACAGGATACTGGGCTAGATGGACCACTGGTCTGACCCAGTACGGCCATTCATATGTCTTTACGGGGTGACCTCCCCCATGGCTGGGAGCTTGTCCTCTTCCTCCATGCAGTTCTGGCCAAGGGGGTCTGCTCTGCCTCCCACTGTACCTTCCCTCACCTTGCACCGTCAGGGATTGGGTGTTGCTGGCTATGTGGCCATGCAGGGAGTCTTCTTCAGCTCCAGTGTTACAGTCCTGCTCCCTCCCTCTGTGGGAGCCTTCTCCAGGCAAGAACAACTCAGCAGTACAGGGGTTCCTCTTCCTCCTTGCAGTCCTGGCTGGGGGTCTCTGCTTCACAAGGCCTGGACTGCAGCTTCCCTCAGACCTGTTGACAGTGGGGCTGCAGGGGGCTCCCAGCACTGACAACACTGCCCTAATCCCAACCCCTACCCCTTTCCCCCACATACACTTAATTTCCAGCAAATGTAAAAATAAAAATAGTTAAAAATAAAAAAGGCAGACTAAGTTGTTACAATTTATATGCCAAAAAGCTGGGGGGAAAGTGCAAGTTAAAGGTGCTGGGATGGCCTACTTTAACTTACATAATCATGGCTGAGGCAACACCAATTCTTTGCCATATCTCCTCTCCCTTCCAGCAATTCCATGGAGTTTTACTACCAAAGTTAATGTTGACTGGGTCGGCATTTGTTTAGGAGGTTTCCCTTTGGCATTGTGGAATACCACCTGGGAGATGTCTGGTCCAATGGCTGTGTGGAAGCAGAGAAAGAACTGACAGGAAGGGGATGCAATGCATGACAGTTCTTTCTCTGCTTCCACAGCTGTCTGTACATTCTCTGGTTGCACAACTACTATAGGAAGCTAGGAGGGCATATTACCCAGAATTCAGGCACACTCCCATCTTCAGGTAGTTTTGATGATCAGACCCTTTAGTCATTCCTCAGGAGTACAAACCCCACCTTCTAAAGTAGTTGTTCACTGAAAACTCCACCAGGGAAATCTTGCCAAAATTTCTGGTCCTAGGATGGTATTAACATAAATTGCATTTAATGGGAATGTATTTGACAGGTGCCAAGTGAGTGAGTGGTTCTGTCATGTGTTAAATAATTCTAAATCATGGCCTGTTAATACAAAATTTACCACATAAACATTAAATTGAGAAGAAATAAAAATAAAAAATGATAAAAGCAGTGAATTTCATTGTTATTATTCAGAATAGGATGAAATCGTCTTATCTTAAAGACTGTTATGTTCATATATTTATTAAAATATTTCTGTAAAACAAGTTTATATAGTAAAGAAAATATACAAATTAACATTTGAGTTACATAAAGTTTTTGTAAATAGTGGGATGGAACTCAGATTCCTATTGATTGTTTTCAAGTTTATCACAGCCTTTTCTCTTAAATGGCATAATGGCCTAATTGTGATAATAGGCTGTCCTCTGGAATGTCCCAGTTAAGGGAATTCTACAATACTTATTTCAATTCTGAATGGCTAACTTTAATATTATTTTAGTCCGTGCAAGTGCTCAGAATTTAAAAACACCTTTTTGGTTTCTGTTATAAACTTCAGTTTATATTCACTATAATACTTTCTTATTCTTAAAGTGGATCTTTTTGGTCTATACAACCCTATCAGTTTTATGAGTTGTAAATCCCCACAATAATATGATAATTTAGATTATCACAGGGGTCCCTTCTGGTCTTGGAATCTATGAATAAATGTTCATATTTAAACAAAAGTTTTGTTTACTCTTTAAATATAACAGTTTTGAATTTTGTGATTTCTTTGTGAAGTGTTATATTTTATTTACATTTTGAAATCTATAGAAAGCATGGCATTTGAATAGCAAAAAACTGAAGGGCTCCAATAGACCTCTCGAGGAGATTTTCAAAAGTACAAATGGCAATTCAGCATCATTCAAAGTAAATGGAAATTAGGCATCTAACTATTTGTGCTATTTGTGTCTTTGAAAATCTCCCTGAGAGTATTTAATTACATGGGACCTGATCCAACACCCATTTAAGTAAATGGAAAGGCTCTAACTGACTTAAGAATGTTGGACATGTCCCCTTCCACCATTTTTGCCTATATAGAATTAAGTTTTAAAGTGTACCCTTACATAATTTAGCTTTGGGAAAGATAAGTAGTATTTTTAACGTGCCAAGTATGGATTTCATGTGACTACCTCTGAAGTTTTGTTGTAGAGAGAACCCTTTAGATATTGAAACATAAACTGATGCTTTGTATCACATAAAATAAATAAAAAAATAAAATAAAATAATTAATGATGGCGATATCCTATCTCCTAGAACTGGAAGGGACTTGAAAGGTCAAGTCCAGCCCCCTGCCTTCACTAGCAGGACTAAGTACTGATTTTGCCCCAGATCCCTAAGTCGCCCCCTCAAGGATTGAACTCACAACCCTGGGTTTAGCAGGCAAAATGCTCAAACCACTGAGCTATCCCTCGCCCCACATTGATAATCATGTTTGGTAATAAATCAGGCATTCATTGGGCATATTTGTTACTTTCAAAATTGAAGCTCTATTCCTGCAATTGCTTGAATGCATGTGGATCTGATTGCAGGATTTGAGCCTACGTACCTGAGCCTAAGCGCCTCCTGCAAGAAATCACCTTCAGCGCTCATTAACTGGAAATTGAAGGTGTTCGCTGCTTTGCATAATCACATCTGAGGCCGGAGCAACACTAGAAACTTTTGCATGTAGAGTAATGTCACTTCTGCCAGTACTGCTTATTTTTTGCAGAGACTGGTATTGGCTATATTGGCAAAAGCACTTTTTTGTCTATATAAACTGCATCTCCACTAGGAGGGTTTGCTGGTATAGCTATACGTATAGACAAGGCCTCAGAGAGCTGGGAATGGCTTTCATTTTGTAGATTCTAATGGATAACATGGGTATTTTAACTAGATATACTTCTTCAGGTGGCTTTAACTACTGTCCAAATACACAAAAATAGATAGAAATTATGTTTAATGTTTTGAAGTCTGTTAACATTGTAAATATTTTTATTTTTCTCCTATTTTAGCCAGACAGTGAAATTTCCACTACAGCAGATGATTATAGTTCTGAGGTAAGAATGAAGTAACATTTTACATTTTTTATGTGTCACATTTAAACATTGTGGAATAGTTTTAAATATTTTGTTTAAAAAAAAAGAGAAAGGAAGTATTAGTTTGAAAATGTTATAAATAACATAAAATAAATAAGCAGTCACAATTAAACAAGCAGCATGCCAGATAAATAACAGGATAAATACTATACCTAGTAAAGTAGTAGGTTTGTAAGCCAATGTAATAGTTTCTTCACTACAACTGCACTTTAATGGTACTGTTCAGAGTTCTGGTTATGCAACCACTTCCCTATGTTAATTTTCTGTGGAGAATTAAACGCCAAGTTGAGTGATTATCTTTAACTTGTAAGTAAAATGAAAACTTGTTAAGAAAATTAGTTAATTTTAAAAAGAAATACCTTGAAATAGTTTGATCCTGTTTACACTGAAGTCATTGTCATCTTGCCATTGAGAGCAGGATTAGGCCCTTAGAGCATTATTAATAATTAACTTCATGTCAATATGCTATTTATTTTCTTATCTCTTGAGGATTCCTCAAAAACTATGATAGTTTCTTTGATCATTAGAGTTTATAATTAAATATGTTACTTTGTATTTATGGTGAGCCTTGTAACATATAGTATTATCCCTGCCAATTCCCAACAATTTCCAGCTCTAACTTTCTCAGTTAACACAAGTAGAAAAATTGTAATATTGTCAATTTGAGAACAATAAATTTGATTCGATATAACACATGCTGGCCAATTTATTACACATACAAAAGCTATGTTAAAATATGATTAAGGTTGCAAAGCCAGTCTCTGAAAAGTTAGAAAATGCCAGAATATAGGGTGCTTGAACAACCTTAATTTGGGCCCCTGGTGCATACGCATTAATTACATGCTCGCATACAGTCTTTTCCCAAGACCCCTGCCTCATTCAGTGCTCATTAAATCAGCAGCTATTCAATATTTTGTTTTATCTTAATTGTTCAATGCTTTATTGCCTTATTTATTGCACACAATTCAAACCCTGCTCTGAATACAGTTATTAATTTCCTCAGGGGCTGTTCCATGGCACTCATCACTATAGTATTTGAGTGCTTCACAAACATTAATTAACTTATCTTAACAACATTGCTGTTAGGTGAGAGGCTATTATTATTCCCATTTTACAGATGGGGAATTCAGGAACAGAGAGATTAAAGTAAAAAGTGTCCACAAATTTTAGGTGCTCAGTCTGAAATGCCTACAACCTATTTTTTCAGTGTACTTAGCTTCATATAGCACTTTATATGTTGATGGCCCTACTCCCACTGACTTCAGTTTGCTGATGTGAGTGTACAGCACTTCTGCAAATCAGAGTATGGGTCTCAAGTTGGGTACACAGAAAATGAGGAACATACAGTTAGGGTATATCTTCACTGCAGAGTTAACTCTGCAGTGATCTTCACTTGAGTTACTCCTCTTGAGTTATCCCAGCTTGAGTGAAAGAGACCACACTGCGAAATAACACTCAAACTACTGTATCCACACCGATGCTGCACTCACTTGTGTGTGACACTCAGACTTTTGGGGATATATCCCATAGTTCTTTGCACTGCAGTAAGCTGAGCCACTCTATGAATTCTTTCCCAGTGATTTGTGAGAGAACTTCTCCATCCTTTCTGGGGATCCAGAGGGAATTGTGGGAAGGCATTGGAGGACCAGCAGTGCTCGAGAGGAGCTAGCCTGCATCCATACTAGTGGTTCTGTTAGACTTCGTAAACTAAGTGTAAATTTTAGCTTATATCCCCTGCCAGGCCAGCCAACTCAAGTTAAAAGCACAACCACACTCAAGGGATTTTGCGTGTGGATGGGACTCAAGCTGGTGGCAGTACTTGAGTTATAACTCAGGTTAACTTTGCAGGGAAGGCAAGCCCTTAGCGAAAAGTTTGGTATAATTGACTTGCCTAGCATCACATAGGAGCTCTTTAGCAACCTTAATGTTCTCTTAATGTGCAAATAACTCTACAGGCCGCGTGTTTGAGACCCCTGGGCTAGAGCATTCTGAATGCGATGGAGTTTTGCAGATTTTATTTTAGCTGTGCAGTTCTAAAAAGCCTCCACTGAACATGTGCAAGTTGAGATTTTAAAAAGCTTATAACATTTGGCCAGATTTTCATGGGAATAGCAAAAGGCACATCCCTGCCACAAAAGCCACCCTCCTGCCAAATGTCAAGTCCCTGCTCCAAAGCATGGGGCGTTCAAGCTTCTCAATGGAACCATAGTAAGGATTTTTTAACATGACAAAACACTATATCTTTCCCTAAATTACTTCTCTGAGATGGCTGAACTGTTTTGACTGAAACATTTCAAAAAAAATTCAGCCTGCAGCTGGCACCCTGGCAGGGCCGGATTAACTCTCCTGTGGGCCCAAGGCTATTAGATTTTGTGGGGCTCCTGTATACAATTCTTTTTCCTAATTTAAAACAAAATGATCACAATTATAACATCGAGGCTATTAGCTCTATACTAAACTTGCCTTTTAATTAACATAAAGCCGTTATGTGATTACATTTCAGTCTTAAAATATATCGAATATAGTTAAATTAATTCAAAATAGCCTAATTCTTACCTTAGAACAGTTGTTATATTAGTTTCTTTCTGGGAGGGAGTTTGGGTGCAGGAGGGGGCTCCAGGCTGGGGCAGAGTGTTGGGGTGCAAGAGAGGGTGAGGGGTGCGGGCTCTGAGAAGGAGTTTGGTGCAGGAGGAGATTCTGACCTGGGACAGGGTGTGGGGTGCAGGCTCCGGCCAGGAGGTGCTTAGCACAGGTGGCTCCTGGACAGTGGCGCAGCAGGGCTCAGGCAGGCTGCCTGCCTGCATGCCATGGCCCCATGCTGTTCCCGGAAGCGGACAGCTGCTGGCACAACTCTGCACACCCCTGCAGCACCCATTGGCCGGGAACCAGACTTGTGGGGACAATGCTGGGAGCAGGGGCAGCATGCGGGGCCGCAGAGAGTTGCCAGCAGCCCACTGCTTTTGGGAGCAGTGTGGGGCCATGTCATGCAGCCAGCCTGCCTGAGCGCTGCTGAGCTGGGGCACTTCTTAGCCTGGGGCCCTGGGCTGCAGCCCCTAAAGCCCCTACGTTAATCCGGCCCTGCACCTGGAATGGAAGATTTGAGCCCAAATGGTTAAAGTTTTGCCATGTTAGGTAACTGAAAGCAGGATCTGATAGTGGGAAATGTCAGGCAACCTGGCATATGTGGAGCTGCCAGCTCTGCTTATATTACTTCTGCTGGGTAACCAGTGGCTCCTGTTCCTCTCTACCTGAAGGAAATCCAGGTTATATGCTCTGATTAGAGATTTCATATCTCAGATACCTGGGCACAGCACACTTCTTGTTATATGTTTTGGTGAAGGGTGAGAAATAGGAGAAGATTAAAAGAATCATCAGGAGCTCTGTGTGTGTGTTGAGGAAAGGAGGCAACTCACACACACAGTTTACCATTAAAAAGGAAACAAATACAGTTCTGTGCACAGAACTGACTTTACTATGGTATTTTTATGTTTAGAATGTATACTACAGTGAGATATTTGTACCACACCCATTGAACATGAAGAGCCAGCCTTCAATGCCTCAGAAGCCCAGAGCAGTATGACATGCTCTGACATATGCACAACTGAGAGCCATACAAAAATATAATCAAAACCTCTAGTCTGATGTAAGGAGCAGCTATTGCAGAAAGTGAGAGCAAAAATCCCAAGAAAACATGCAAGTCCTGGGAGATTGAGACATTGAAGGACATTGATGTAATGTCTCATAATTATGGATGAGCATGGGTTAGTTATTTAATATTTAGACTATGGTAGCATCCACCCTGTAGAAGGATAGGTGAAGACACAATCCCTGAGCTGAAGAGTTTAGCCCAGCACCTTGTGGGTCTGTACTCTTTTTTTGGTATTCAAAAGGTTCTCCTTAGTATCTACAGTTAATGTTAGAGATTTTAATAGCAGTATTTTAAATGCCAAAGACCACAGAAGACTAATATTGTAGAATTGTAACCAGATCTAGTTCTGAACTCTACTTTAAAAAAAAATCCCATTTTTCAGCCTCTTTGAAAACGAAAATGTATGAACTCATTCTTTTCTAGGAACTCTTGTTCTCTTTCCTGTGAGAGGATCCCCCTCCCTTTTCTCATGAAGTAATAATTTTGTTCCAAAACATAAGTAGATAGTGAGAAACTTGTGCATGCAGTTCAAATGGTGGTTGGCTTGCAAAATCGAGCAATGATTGTTAAGATGCAAGGTGTGCAGCTTTTCCGTACATTCCTTTTAATTGTTAAAAGTCAGTGAAGTTTTTCACTGTCTGCAGTGAGATCTTGGAACCAGTGTACATGTGTCTTTGGAACTGCATTGAGTTGTCATCAAGCATATACACCTCTACCCCAATATAACGCTGTCCTCAGGAGCCAAAAAACCTTACTGTGTTATAGGTGAAACCGCGTTATATTGAACTTGCTTTGATCTGCCGGAGCGCGCAGCCCCGCTTCCTCGGAGCGCTGCTTTACCACGTTATATCCAAATTTGTGTTATATCGGGTCGCGTTATATCGGGGTAGAGGTGTATTCAGGTCAGCCATAATAACACTTTTAGTAATAAATATGTTTCATTTACGTTAATGAACAACTGCAGCCATCTGTAACATTGAGAATTTTTAAAGGTGAGAGAAAATTAAATTCTGTATACCATAGCATAGACTGGACAAATTTTGTATGGAATTGGAGACTGAATCTTGAACTCAGTTTTGTTTCAGGCATGTAGCGCCTTATGTTTGGAAATGCTAAAAACCTACAATTTAATTTGAAGTTGGTGAGAGCCAGGTGTGCTTGGCAACTCGAACAGGCTGGTGATGAGCTTATTAGTGGTACCCATCTTATTCTTTGCTTCCCTTCTTTCTTCTCATTATTTAAAGAGGCTTCATTTTTAAAAAAAAAATGTTACTTAAACCTTTTCAGTCAGAAATAATGCTAAAAAAATAGTAGTCATGCTTTCAAGTGGAATATTTTTAACTTGTATTATTTAAAAGTTGTTTGTTTTATTATAGCTGGCAAAGTGAGCAATATGTTTCTTGTTTGTTAGCTAATTCTCTTGGGGAACTGGATAAAGTCCAGTGACAAATAAATATATCCCTCTTTGAGGGACATTGCTCATAATGGCTCCGTCTAATGATAGAGTACAGTTTCCTAAGCAAAGTTGCGGGAAACAGTAACTGCAGATATCAGCATTCTTGTCTTACAGGAATTTTATTATTATAAATGAAGTCTTCTCTTTCCTTCAGTCTCCTGTACAAATCCACAGTTGTGGACATGGTAACCAAATCCAAAATATGAATATATACAGAATATGCTGTTTGTAACAAATTACTTATTTTAAACTAATATGAGACCTTATGTAGCCTTTAGAATTAAATAATGGTGATGATTAGTAATCTAGTCAGGGTTACAGTTCAAATTCAAGACTAAGGGGAAGTTGAGCTTTTCCCAGTAGCAAGCACTGTTTTTTACCTTTCTTGATGCTGCTTCTCCGTAGGTCCAAATATAAACTTGTATTCCATACTTCTACAAGACAAGTACTAAAAGACAGTAGCCAAAACTTCTTTTTCTTTTTTTCAAACCTAAGAAATATTTTTAATCACTGTTGAGGAAGATGAAGAAAATAAGTTTGTTATTGGCAAAACTAATTACATTGTAAACAATAGTCTTTAACCTTAAAATGAAGAAATTTTTCTAATGCACTATATAATGGAAAAATAAATTAAGTAACACAGCCATCACATATTTTTAAAAATCACTGTTAAAGTCTCTGTAGATTTAAAAAGGTTGTGAATCTGTTATTGTTAGGCTTAAGTCTTTATTCTAATTGTTTATATGACACGAACAGGAAATATCTTCTGCCTATACACAGTTTAAAAATAAGAATGTATGGAAATAGGTTTTGCCAAGGTGATATTATAGTGCTAGAATCTTAGATAAATTCTTTGTAGTAATCAGACTAAAACTTATTGGAGTGCTCAATATGTTGTGATGTTGCTATAATATGTGACAACTAAAAAGCACTAAATTATAAGAGAACAAAAGCTGAGGATTCAGCACTTTGTGTATATTTTCAGAATCAGTGTTTTCTCATTTAGTTTAAAAGAGGGACCCATTAAAAGAGACTGTTAGCAGTTAGCAACATTGCAGGCTGCAAGCAATGTCATCTGCCAGTATTGATATTATAAACTTCTGTGTTCATGGAATAATAATTGGCAATAAAAGTGAAATAATTCCTGAATAAAATGTATATCTTAATCCTTGCATTGAAATAAAGAACTAAAACAAATAAATATGAGTTCTTTTAAAGATGTGGAATAAAAATACATTACCCATTCCAGATGCTTTTATAGAAACTCATATATAATGAAATTAAGGGCTTTGGGGTTTTTTTGTTTTCTGACCTGAAAGTTTCTGTCAGTCAATAATATGCTATTCTTTTATATATTAAAATTTGTCCTACACTGCCAATGCTTTGACATGTAAACTTGATAATTTATATTGGAAAGTAATTTTTTAATTTCTAAACAAATCTTTCTAATAGCATTGAAATAGCTCCATATAGAAGATTGATGCTGCAGTTTGGGTGGTAGCATGTCAGGGATTCCGAGGTCTATAGGATCTAAAATCATCTTTATGGAGCTTGACAGTGATAGCTATACTGTACATTAAAGTGCAATGGCTCAAAAAAATTGTGCTGACCCCTGGTGGCAGTAGTCATGATTCACTATATTCAGTGCTGCTTGGTTAGTTTTGTGATATTTAAGTCTGCTTTTGCTTAAACAATATAAAATAAAGTATAAATTAAAGCACGTTTGCCTTTACACGATAGATTATAAACATTTTAAAAGAGATTTTATGTTTGGGGAATATTTCTTGTGAAAATATTAAGATAATAATGAAAACAGGAAAATTCAGAACTAAGATTAAAAACTGTGCTCTTGTTACTCAATATTTCCAGGATCTCCAAAGATGGATGATTTCATGTATTATATGCTGCAGTACGTAGGCACACCAGTGTGATTTAAGAACATTTCAGCCTTAAAGGTGCATTGCAAAATTTTAAAAGTAGAAATTAAATTGTAAGATTTCAAATCAATGATCAATGATATATATGGACTTAGATGCCAGTGTTGTAGGGAGCTCTGTATAGGCAACCCAGTATGCCCACATGGAAACCCATTAAAATCAATGAGCTTTGCACAGAGGTCCACAAGCATTGAATCGTTTGCAGGATTGTGGACTTCAAAATTACAAATTTATAATCTATTTTAAAACAAGATATTTCAAAATCAGTGTTTGCACATTCCTGTAATCGTCTGCCAGCTTTCCTACAGGCAATACTTTTCCATGTCTAAAATATACCTGTTTGGCACCCCCAGATCTCTCCATTGTGCTCAGTCTACACTTCGGAATACCAAATGAAATGTATTAAAAACGTTGTTAGGTTTCACCTTGCACCATGCCAAAAGAGAAAAAGTATAATAGATTCCACAGAGAATTAGATGGGAGAAGTACAGAGATTATACACAACACCAGAGGACCACTGTGGCCATCCAACAGATGTGGCGTATAACTCTTCGGTAGCCAGTGTTTTTATTTATCAATTTAAGAGCCAATAGAAATTGGAGTACATAAAGGAAAAAGAAAAGTATCATTTTGTTTGTTTACATTCATGTTTTGTTCCTACTAATCTGTTATTATTGTGATAGGACCAGAAGCCCAAATCTGTTCTAAGGCCTCATGTTAGTAGCTACAGTGCAAATGCTGGGTGAATGTAGTGGCAGTCAGTTGCCCTGCAGAGTTAAGAGTACCTGCTGTGCCCATATGGGGGCAGAGGAGTTTATTGGAGTTTATTGGGATCCCCTGATTTTTACAGTATTTTACAGTATTCATTCCCTCTCAAACTTAGACTATGTTTTGGTGACCTTACTTATTGTAGAGGAGGTCTGGACTTGACTCCCCCCAAAGTGAGTCAGCAACCCTCTGTGTCTCTACCAAAATGTCATTCAGGAGTGAGGCATTGTTCTTTTTGATACCCTACTGCTTTAATCAAACTTGGGGGTCAGACTTTGATCCCTTGCATGCCAGTGCATTTTGATGTTAGACTTTAGGGTTTGCACAGACATGATGCCTTCATATTGTAATTAAGCCCTGCCCTGCCTAGACAATTCCTAAGCAGATTTCCATACTGGTTTTTTACTTAAAACGCTGATTTTATACTTTTTTTTACTTAAATGCTACAGTGATAATGTTGGGTGGAACTGAAATTCTATAAATATACAGTAGCTCCCCTTCTCCAAAATCCTCACTCCTACTTCAGCTTCTTATGTGGAGAGGAGCTCTGAGAGGAATGTGGCAGTTTTTTGTTACACCATTTTACACATGGGTCAAAGGACCTGCTGAGTAAAAGCCCTGTGTATTTTTGTGTTTGTTTCTTACAATTTTCTTGTTGATCTGTAAGTATTGTTTTTGGGATGCACTTACAATTTTGGAGTCTCTTTATTATTGGCTTATGTGGTCTCTAGAGTCAAAATTCTCATGGACGCTGCACCGTGTGACAGCAGCAGGTAAGTGAAAGGGAAGAAATAATTTTCAGATATTTTATTTTAAATCCAAAGTGTCTTGTACATTTTTCAGTGTAAGAAATTATTTCAGATTACAAGAATACGATATAATAACTCTGATTCCAGGGGAGAGTGATTAGTAATAGCAAATTATGAAGTGCACACCTTACAAAAAATGGATGAGGAGAGGAGTTTAGTAATTTAAGGTACTCTTTACTGAGCTTCTCTCGTCACCATTTTTAAATGTGTGTACTCAAAATATTTTGTGTTTAAAATGTATTATTTGTTCAGTCTGCTCATATTGTATGTTCTGTTACTGATTTTTAATATTATAACATTTAAAATGTGAAGCTTTAAATCTGAATTTCCTTGTTTTCTTTGTTTATAAGAATTCTAATGCAGTTTATATCCTAAAGACATCAGCCCAGGTTTACTTAATATGAGAGGCTCTAAATTACAAAACAATAACCCTTGCTACTTTTGATACAATTAGGTATATCTGAATTGTGCAAAACAATCAGATTCTGGAACAGTATATACTAACTGTGTGCATTTCAAATGAAGTGATTGTTCTCTGCTCACAAGGTTTTGTCTACAAAAATAATCAGATACATCTCAAATGAAAGGAAGCTAGAATTTAAGCTGCATCTTAAATTATAATATGTCTAGAAATTGTCTTTATACAGGTAAATGGTTGCAGTTTTGTGACAAGAACAGCTATACCAGCAGACTTAATCAGGGTATAGTATTACAAATTAAATCCTATTACTAATGTTGGGTACTAAAAACCTTATGCAATTTGTATAGTAATATTCTGGTTGAACAAAACTACCTGGCTTACTAACAAAAATTCTGTGGTATGCAATGTTATCTAGCTTTGTTGTTGTTTCATGACATCTTAATATGTATAATGTTGCCTCTATTAAACTTTAGGGAAAACAAAAAATACTCCTAGTATAAAGCATAGCCTTTTAATACAGAATTCACAGAAGTACTGTATGTCAGTGCTCTTAAGGTGTAAATTATGCCAACAAGGCAGGTTACCATGGCAATAAGCTCCTAAATGCTATGTTATATTTTAATGTTCTAATGTGGTATTTGATAGAGAATTCAAAATTTGACTCTGCTCACCTTGAGAAAACATATAAGTGTTGGGTTGTTAAGGAACTTGGATTGATTTAGGAAGAAGAATTTGGAGTTGGAGAGACTTATTCTGAGCATGAAATGCAGCACTCTCAGACACGGCTACAGATGATGGAGAATGAATTGGCTGGGAAACAACAAGAGATTGAAGAGCTAAACAGAGAACTAGAAGAAATGAGGGCAGCATATGGTACAGAAGGATTGCAACAGGTATAATTACCTTATGTTGCTTTCTGTTTGCTACTTGGTTACACACAAAAATGCTGAGTGTCACCTGGAAGTGTTTTTGGTTAAAGAGAGCCAGTCAGAGAGTGTGGAATACAGAATTTTGTTTAGTTCCAAAGAGAATGAGGTTTCATCAGCACGTATCATCTTTACTTGAAAGGAAGTTCCAGTGTGTTTCACCTTTCTTTTTATTCTCTGGCCAACATTTTCACTCGGTGCTTAGCTGTTGCAGTGCTCGCCTTATGGTTGGAAGAGTGGATACATGGGCTTCCTCAAGACAAGCTCTAATTCTTCCTCATTAATTATCCAATGGCAGTACACAGTTCTTTTTCCCTTGCTCCTCAGAGACCAAGCAGAGTATCAAGTTCCACCTACCAAAGAAGTGAGATTCCTGAGGTAGCTACTTAACCAGGAGGTCATTTGTCTGTCAGCGTTTGCAGACAGGCATACAAGCCCTGATGTAAGCAGGTGGTACTCCTATTAAAGTTGTTAGGTATTTGTTAGCTTACATCACACTGAATTTGGACCATTGGTGAAATTTAAGGCATAGTTTTATTTTTCATGGTCTGTATTTCATTTCACATTTGTCTCTCTTTTCTTTGACCTTTTGTTGATTTGTATACTGAACGTGTGTTCATAGGTTTTGCTTTGTTTTATAAGTTTCTAC